AAGCCACCTCTTTAAATCATTCATTTTAAATTTAAAAGTTGTATTTAACTTTAAATCATCCATTTTGGGCTTCCGAAATGTTACCTTGCTTATTAATGAGATTTATTTTTCTGCAAGAAAGGCCTACAGAACTCTACAAAATTCTTATTCAAACTCACATCTGAGAAGACAACCCCAATCTGTCAATCTGTAACACTGACGGATTAAATCTAAGCAATCTGTTTGATATTTATATCTTGAAATGTTTGTGGCCCATAAACTAATAATATAAACATCAACTTTAATCTTGAATAACACAGTTCTACAATGCTTCATTTGTAATATAATCCTTTTTAAAATTTAGGTAATGAGTTTTATTCCAGCATTCTCTCTTTCAGCATATCCAAGCCAGTTTTCTCATTATTTGTCGCTTTTGTTTTTTTAAATATCAGTTACTATAGGAGTCGTGTTGAACCTGCCTTAAATATCATTTTAATAAATACTTTTTAAATTTATGTACACCTCCATGTTTTTAATTATCAGCATGCATTCTTAGCTGTTCTTTGCTAGGCTTTTCCTAACATAGCAGTTTCTGTTACTTTGGGCTAAAACCACTTAGCAAATTTTCCATAAGGTTCCAAACAATTCTAGTACAACTATTTTCCATCACAACATTCAATGTCATAAAATATTGAGGGTTCTTACTTCTGTATCTAGATGCTCTTGATAAGCAATTTGTTGCTGTCATCATTTTTATGCAGCAAACTAAAATAGGAATGAATGCATTTACATTCAACCAATACATTAAATGTAGCAGTGCTCAAAGTTTAACAAAAGAATCACCTGACAAGTAGAATGGAATCAGAGGAAGCTTGGGTGTCATTCATAAAGATGTATCTTCAGTTATACAAACAAAAAAAACCTGTTCTTATAACTGACAAGTGGTGGTAAAAGACCATCCGAGAAAACAAAAAAAAAAAATGGGGATAATAATGTGATATTAAGCTGTTACAGCAGAATAATAAGCACTTTACTTCATGTTGTCTCAGTGACATCAGTGTAATTTAGTGTCAGACTCAAACGCAAAGGTGAGATAGTGAGATCTATAATATTTGAGTCCAATCCTTTATTTGCTTATACCTAATAGACAGAAACTTGCCAAGCTATAGCTATAACCTTCTAACCTACTAGGTATATCCTGAGAGATTGTAGGGTATGGCTACCCTTAACCTCTTTGCCTGTCCCTCTTCCAGCTTGGGACTGTACAGTTTCTTGATCTGGGTCTCCTATTGAGAAAGTTCTGAATTGGCAAAATCCTCCCCCTCTGCTGCTGCAGGTGCATATTCCATCACACTTAAGATAAGATTCTCATTGGCTAGATCATGCCCAACATTTGCAGGATGATGATGAAGCTTGTTGTTTACATATAGAATAAATGCACATTCCAGCAACAAAAAGGTTTGAAATATTAGCAAAGTAATCCATATATTATATTTCAGATGAGTTCTTTGTTGCTGGAATGAATCCAATCCATCTATTACCTTATTTTTCAGATATGGTCCCAGGTCCAGGATGGTCAACACTGAAATATGACAAGACTTACAAAAACTTTTTGCTGACTTATAGGAAAGTTGAAATGGGACAACCACATCCTGATTTAAAACAAAAAACCTGGGTATTTCCCTGCTATGTAGCCTATCTTCTCTGCTTTTAATTCATTTATTTTCTCGGTGCAAAGTATTAGCAACATCAACCATACTATCATTTACCACTTAAAGGCAAATGTAGAAATTACATGATGAGGACACTACAGTACCATATTAACAAGCCCCAAACAACAGGGAAGTCTTCTGAAGGACCGAGTAAGATGCCACTGAAACTAGATCATTTGAGGCCACGTTTTCTTTCTTTTAAAAAAAACAGCATAGGAGATAGCTCAACCCAAAAAAACATTGGTCCTCTCCATTTACCCAAACACACCAGCAGTAACATCTAATCCCCACAAACTTTCTATTTGAAACATTCTGCCTTGTCTTCAGCTGGGGCACCTGCAACATCAATCAAAAGGTTTGAGGTGAAGTAAAAGATGGTGGGATAGATACAGGCAACAAAACCACTTGCAGAGGTGAGATACGTAGATATATATGGCTATTTAAGAGCAAAGCAGGAAGGATGACAGATCACTGAACCTTCATACTGTAATGGAACATGTACCATGATAACCACTGCTCAAAACAAACTGTTCTACATGGAAATATCAAGCCACATCCTGTTGTGCACTACAAGCCCTTCTTTCTCCTTTTCATACAGCAAGAATGACAGATTGATTACCAGTGTGAAAGTGTTTCATATTGTAATACGAGAATAATTTACCCAGGGAAAACAAATTATCATTTCTCTCCTGCCAGAAAATAAAAGATGATTTACTGAGTTAGGGTTTTTTTTCATGTCAGTTGAACTGATTGCAAGGGCGTCCATTTTAGCATCACTGTCTAGCCTACAACTTCTTGTCCACCTACGCTTTTCAGAACAACTACACCTAAAATGTCTGTCTTTTACAAAAAAAAAAAAACCCTAACTGATGAGGCCTCCCAGACATCATTTGGATTTCTCATTTTATATAATTATATTACAGTAAACTAATGTAACATAAATAAATATGGTGATATCACTAATGGAGGAGGAGGAGGAGGAGGAGGAAATGCAAGAAAGAACCTGGGAAATTATGTTAGAAGCAAACCATGTTGTTCAAAAATTGTCTTCCTTGTCTCTTTGTTGATAAAATTATATATTGCTATTTCACAGACAAATATTTCATATTTATAGCAATGGGCATTGTGAGGGGTCAGAAGACACAAATCAACCAGACAAATTCTAGGAGGGTTGCAGAGGGCTATCATAAAACCTTGACATTACTAGGAAGTGTGTGTATGTAGTTAATTTTTTTCTGGTTTGAGAAGCCGGGTTCTTGGGCACCCTTAACCACCACTCCAATGGCCCAAGACTGCAATGCTGAAGTTTCACTATTTTGCCACCTAATATTAGCCATGTGATGTCAGGATGCATTATGTGAAACACATGCTTTTACCCATATATTATAAGGAAGTAAACGTTGGATATATCAAGAGAGAGAGAGAAAGCTAACTTGAATGCAATGGGAATAGGAGGGAGGGAGGATGAATTGTATGTGATTTTTTAAAAAACAAAGAAATAGTATAGTAAAGAAAAAACAGATGCTGAAAGAATGTGGATTGAATATAAAAATGAGTGATCCAGATGAAAGAAGAATATTGAGGTGCCTCAGTTTTAAGGGCAGATGAATTAGGACTGAATTGCACAGAGATCATGCCATTTGCATGAATTTAAAAAAGGAAGAAGTATAGGGAATGGTGTTATTGCTGTTTTCTTTTAATTTCCTTTTAATTACTATTTCTTACTCCATTTGTACAGCTGCAGAGTTCCTTTCTCAGAAAGAGTATGGGGTATATATGTGCTTGTATATGTATGTATATGTTTCATGAGAAATATCAAATATAAGGTTCCTCCTGCTGCTCCCTTGATCCCTTGAGATGTAGATCAGTCGCCCTCCTCAGAGCTATGCCAGGTTTTTGGAAAAGAGGAGGATCCTAACTCTGTGTGTGTGTGTGTGTGAGAGAGAGAGAGAGAGAGAGACAGACGGACAGAGACAGGCAGACAGAGACAGATCAGATTGTTCTATTCCCAGAATTAATATCTTGCTCTAAGTGATAGCAATATCTCACTGCACCATATATCACACTACAGTATGAACCAATTAAGATCAAAGGGATGTCTCCTCTTGAATGTTGTTTCACGTGCAGTAAAATGTGAAGAAGTTCTTCTTGGGGCCTCCTCACTCATAGCATTATGAACCAAATATGCCTAGTTCTTGAAATTTCCTAGAGAAAGGCACTCCAGCTTCGTACTTGTTTTGGTAGTTTGGGGCAGGATATAACTCAACATTGGTACTAGTTAAATGAGATAGTTTTGAGAGAGAAGGAAAAAAAGAAAGTGAAGGAAAGAAAGAGAAAGACAAAGAAAGAGACAACTGCAGCAGATATCAGACATGTTTACTTTTGTCAAAAATATTGAAATGATGTTGCCCTGTTGCAATGAAAGCTGCACCTCTTTTATATCTATGTGCAACATCACAACACATGTACAAAAGAGGCAATGCTTATAGAGGTATGCTGCTACTTATACCACAAGCTCCTTCCTGCAGACACCTCGGGCTACAACAATAGCAACAATGAAGTTAATATACCTGATTACCTGAACTGCATGAAAAGGATCTGAGTTACTAGATTTTATCTCTATATAGTTATATAACAGAGACAGACTTTGTGTTCATTCCCATCTAATTGCCTTTGGTTTTATAACACTTTAATGCCAAAATTTATTGAAAAGTATTAGATAAGTATTTCACTAAAAACTAGGGCATCTTTGATCAGTTAAAACAGGAAAACCCTTCAACATCCCCCTCCTCTTGTAAAATGATATTTATCTTAGAAGAATTAGTTTGCAAGATTTGGTCATTTTAAATTTGATCCCTCTGGATTTATGAATGAAACACATGAAACTCAGTCACAAGTTTCTGTTAGGAATGATTTTACTAAGAACAGATAAAGAAATCAAGATTAGTGACATGGGCAAAAGTCAACATTAAGCATTTTAAAGACTATTGATTTCAGTTATGAGAATTTTAAAAGGTCAAGATGCTTCTATCTTTTGCACTTCAATTTCACCCCATCACTTTCAGTAGAATTTGCATGCATCAGATTGTGTGACATCTCTATAATTCTATGGCACCTCCCTGAGGGAAATGACTCTCATTGAATTCAATGGAGGCCACGTTCTGTGGTGACAGGTTCATGTTCAGTGTAAAGCTGCAATTCTATGCATATTTCCTTGCAAGTAAACATGGTTAAAATTAAAAAAAAAAAAAACAACAGAGATGAAAATGCTATGAAGTTTCTATAGAGATAATAACAAGAACAATAAGATAAAGTTGGGAACAACCAAATTTTTTATTAAAAAAAAAAAAGAATCAGAATGTCACTTCAGACTTTTAAAGGCAAAAATCATTCTTCTTCTCTCTTCAGCATTCATTCAACTCAGATATGATGTTCCCGGGTAAAAGGCTTCTGTTGTATCAACTGCCACAGGACTGAAAAAAGGAAACAAGGGCAACTAATTAATCCTGGATTAAATATCTTATCATTTTTATTATTGCCACAATATAAAAATACAAGACTGTAGAAGGAGTGCAGAGAAGAGCAACAAAGGAATTGGGGATTGGAAGATAAAATCTAGGAAGAATATAGGAAGTTGCAGGAATTGGGTATGTCTAGTTTAATGAAAAGAAGAACTAGGGGTGACATGATATCAGAGTTCCAATATCTAAGGGGCTGCCACAAGGGAGAGGAGGGGGTCAACCTATTCTCCAAAGCACCTGAAGACAGGACAAGAAGCAATGGATGGAAACTAAGCAAGGAGAAGACTAATCTAGTACTAAAAAGAAATTTCCTGACAGCTAGAACAATTAATCAGTGGAACAACTTGCCTCCAGAAGTTGTGGGTGCTCCAAAACTGGAGGTTTTTAAAAAGAGATTGGATAACCGTATATCTGAAATAGTATAGGATTTAAGCAGGGGGTTGAACTAGAAGACCTCCAAGATCCAATACAATCTTGTTATTCTGTAACCGTATTATCTCTAGACACTAGAACAACCATTAAAGGCCCAGGGACACATTTCATACATGACATCTCTTTGATTAAAGATCCCAGATGCAGACTACAGAATTCCCAAAGCGAAAGGGAAGATGTTGGAAGAAACTGGACAATCTGCCTTTTTCTTGCATTATAAGTCCTCTGCTCCAATTCAGTTCCAGCTTCTAGCAGATCTTGGAATGTTGATTCCATAAATTTGTTTAAGCTAGAAGAACTTTACTTTTCAATATCCTTTCTGAACATGGTTTAGATCAGAGGTCTTCAAACTTGGCAGCTTTAAGACTTGTGGACTTCAACTCCCAGAATTCTCCAGCCAGTTATGGAGAATTCTGGGAGGTGAAGTCCACAAATCTTAAAGCTGCTAAATTTGAAGACCTCTGGTTTAGATTATGATAGCAAATATTTTGGGTTTACTTTCCAGAGCTACTTATGTAACCTTATATATTAGTGATACACAAAGCTACCTGTTAGGAATATCTTATGCCTATAGGGAACCATATCAGAGTCTTGTAGAACCAATTGATTATGACTATCAAATAACAGTTCACTTCAGAAATGTTAGAGTAGAATCCTGATAATACTCCCTGCAGCCAATGAAGTGGACTGGAATAACATTTTAAGTAATAATAAATTGGATAGACGTGAAGAGCCAGTTTTATGTAGTGGTTAAGGCATCAGACTAGAAACTGGGAGATGGTGAGGAGGCAAGGGCAAACTACTTCTGAAAATCTTTGCCATGAAAGGGACTAGTCCAAGCAGTCACCAGGACTTGACAGAAAAACAGCCAAAGTTCTGAAGCTGTCCAAAAGCCTGCCTAAACAGACCATGACTACGATGAAATAAATTTTCCCTCTTTTGTCCTAGTCATCCAAGATGGATGCTATTGTCCAGATTGCCATGAGGGAATTGGATGGTGTATCCACTGTCTTATCTAGATTACTCTAATTAAGGGCTTTTCCTCCCATTCCAACCGTGTTAGAAGCTCACACAGCAGCCTTAATTTTTCTGCCGTGTTCCCATGATTTGCCTTCATCTCCACCCCAGCACATATGAGTAAGGCAAAGATCCCTCTTAACCTCCATCCAAAGTAAGGTTGTCCTCCATCACCAGGGAGGAAAATCAAGGGACTGACAATGATTGGGAACTGAGGCAGAATCAAGATTGGCAATCTTGATTGTAGGAGTCTACAAAGATTGTAGGAGTCTACAAACAATGGACGGGGATATTGTTAAGGACAGGATAACACATACAATGCATTTTTCTCAGGAATTGGATATAAAGAACATACATTGCATATTACCTTTTTTCTTATTTTCAAATGCATTATAAATGCCCCATACAAGGCACTCTTGAAAATGAGAAGAATATACACCAGTTTTCCAAGATTGGCTTGTCTGAGATACAATTCTAAAGGTGAGGGAAAAATAGGGAAAAATAACAATATAAGAATTGTATAATTTATATATGTGTGTGTGTGTATGTATGTATAGATATATACACACACATATATATACACACACACACAGGAGGAGGATACACTGTCTAGCTCTACCAAGATAGGGAGGGAGGGAAGGAGGGAGGGAGAGAGAGAGAGAGAGAGAGAGAGAAGTAGAGGGGGAGAGAGAGAGAGAGGGAGAGAGAGAGAGAGAGAGAGAGAGAGAGAGAGAGAATTGGTGAAGCTAAACAGTGTATCCTCCTTCTGTTGGACTGTTTTTATCTTCCTCTCTTTTCCAGCACATTTCTTGAATACATGATTTCACAAGGCAAACTATAAACCATGCACCACATCTCTGCAATATGTTTAAATGCTTAGTCATGGAATATTACCTTTTTATTTTAAAGAGAGAGAGGGAAACTCTTTGAGAAAGATATTCTGGGAGCAGAAGCTGCAGGGAAGAACAAAATATTTCCTTCTTCCAGTTTTTTTTTTTTTTTTTTTTTTTTTGAGGAGGGCTGAATTGTTTTGTTTTGCTTTTACTGGATTGACAGCCTGTCATCTCACTCTGGTCCCCATCTTTCCAAACTTCAACCCTATCTTTTTCTTGTGCAAACCCAAACCTGGAGCCAGGAGGAGGAAAAGTGATTGGATATCTGGTCTAATGGGCACTCTCTTTGCTTCTATTTTAAAATGTCAGAGAATTTGCTTGGTTTTTTTTTTACAACTGTTTAAAAGAAATAAACCATTGCTGATGCTTCTCCTATCATCATCCCAAATAGTAATAATTTGTATTCCATCTACCCAAGACTCCAACTAAGTCAAAATAGCTTTTGAAAAATGTAGGCATGTTGCTGTGTTTTAAGGTAGGATTTTGTTTTTCCTGAAGAGAGGGAAATCCTTAGTGATACTGAAATCAAATCTACATACAAATGCCCCTCCCTTTTGGGTTAAATTTCACAGGTGTATTCAAATCATTTGCAAAAATTAAATGTAACTGTCAGGAATGTAACATTTTGAATTTTGCCACACTTAATTCAAAGCTTGTTTACAGTTAGGGGTCCTGGAGAATGTTACAGATTCAGTGTAATGTACATTTGGAATCAACAGGCTGAACTTGACTTACCATTTGTGGAGGTCTGGCTATCACATTCTAAAAACAGAAGGAGGAAAATTCTCATTAGCTATATTTCATCATCATTGTTATCATTTCTACTACAACTAATAAATCCTACACAAAGAAGGAAAAATAAAAAAGGGAGTAAACTTGTGCTCAAGATTAATAGAAATATATAATTTCTAAAGTGTGTATGTTCTATAAATTCTATCAATTTAATATTAGATAGATACATTCTAAGATTTAAAGGCAATGTTTCTAAAGCAAGGCGCAAAAACTGACTCCTTAAAGACACTGTTCTGATTGGCATTAGAGGCTACATGTAAATATTTTTAAGAGATAACAAAAATGGAAAAATAGTAAAAGAATTTTGCTAGGTTCTGACATTTTGCCTGGATCATGGCTGTATCAGAAACTCTTAGACACAGATCAGAAAATTATCAAATTTTGCAAATGGACAAATACAACTGAGAGAGAGAGAGAAAGTAATAGTTGATTAAAAAGAATGAATCAGTACAAAAAAGATTTCGTGTAAGATATCACATTTGCTTAGGAATTGAACATAAAAATGTTTTCTAATATTTGTAATTTTGTTCAGCAAAATATATTTTAAAATGCTTACAAGGGCAGCATATGAACAATTCTACTGAAGTGCAGAAAAGCCCTAGAAAGAAGAAATTGATCTTCCTTTCACCCACCTTCTCCAATTATGGAAGCTTCGTAACTGGTGCTTTCAGAAGAATTGTAGAAATCGACTTTGCACTTGAAATTATTTTTTGAATTCTGCCACTGGTTCTCAGTGATTCTTAAACGGCTGATCAGTGAATATTTCTTATTTTCATATTTGGGCTCCTCTGTCTTTATTCCATCTGTTATAGACTTGTTATTTAGATACCATGTAAGAATGACGTGATCTGGATAGAAATCAGTGGCCAAACACACAATTGTAGCTTTCTGCTTTTTTTCCAATTCTCTTTTGGATGGAGAAAATATGGTCACACTTGGGGGTGTGAGAATGTGTCCCTTTTCTAGAAGATAAAGCAACATATAATGAAAAAGATGGCAAGCCTCCTCAAGCTATGGTTGACCTACATATGTCAGCCTGCCAATTGCATCATGCAGTAATATTGCTGGCTCCGTCTTATTTAAGCACAGGCCATTTCAGTGGAATGAGCTCATTCAGATGCCAGTCATTAAATGTTGAGAATCAAGAAATACCATACATGCACCTACAAATCAATCTTGCAGTGATGGCATGAGTTCTGTGGAGAATCAGCTGAAAAGTGAGATGGGGAGGAATTCAAGCATTGTCTCTGTTTCATCTGCAGCCTCAACCACACAAACATTGCTCAAGCCTTGGTATTAAAACCTATACTCAGAGAATGGCAGAACTTCATGTTTGTTTGTTTTCTATGTTTGTTTGTTTGTTTATTTATTTTATTTGAGCCAGCATTGACTGCTAACTTTCTAACCTTCTGCCTTAACTATTACACCAGACCTGGCCTTCTCTGAGTCTATATGCCACCCTTCAAAATGGGGTTTCCCCACAGAAACAGGAATGGGCTTAGTTTTTATAGTTAAGGCAGTTCAATCTTTGAAAGTATCCACACTATCTGTCTATCAAGATTCTCATTCATCCACTAAATGGCAGAAACTGTGGGATAGAAATGTTAAATTAATGATGTCAACTGCATATAAAGAAAATTTGTATAAAATGCTCTATAGATGGCATTTTGCACCAACAAGACTGAAGATAGATCCGCTAAATGTTGGAAGTGCAATCAAACACCTGGTTCATATTACCATATGTGGTGGACATGCCCAAAAGCTAAAAAATATTGAACGAAAATACATACTTATACATATAAGTACATATAGACTTGGAACCAGAAATATTTTTATTAGGCATTCTGCTGGAAAAATATGATAAAAGGACTATATATTTGATTTTACATGTACTAACTGCAGCCAGAATTGTATTTGCACAACAATGAAAGAACAATGAGATCCCAACAGATGAGAGTATAATTAAGAAAATATTAGAATGTGCAGAAATGGATAGACTAGCGCTTACTATTAAGGATAAAGAAGAAACTGAATATTTTTCAATATGGGACCTATTTTACCAATGGTTAGACAATAGAAACAGAAGTTAGAAATGTGGGCACATAAAAAGGATAAATGTTAAAACGGAGATTTGTTAAAGTAGATAAGTTAAATATTATTGTTATTATAGTATTAATGTTATTGTTATGAATACTGTTGTAAACATTTTGATTATGATTGCCTAAAAACAACTGTACCCAGACAACACACTGATGGAAATTGGATTTTTATATGTTAAATAAATAAAATAAATAAAGCATTTAAAAAAAGATTCTCATTCATCCAAGTCATGGTTGTCCCAAAGATGTTTTCTCAAAAGACAACTGTACATTCTTGTTTTTACTTGAAGACGTTTTGCTTCTCATCCAAGAAGCTTTTTCAGTTCTGAGTGAATGATGGAAAACTACCTTGGAAGTTTATCTTTAAGAAATCATCTATTTTAAGATTGAACAGAGAGGGAGGGATATGACACTACCTATCTCCTGTTTACAATACAGTCCTTTCAATAGTTCCAAGAAGGTTCCACACCCATTTGCACTATTCAGGTGATCCCCGACGGCACAAATAAATCTCCAAGTGGCCTCAGTGACTCTCAGAAAGAGATGACTGCAAGGAATATAAATCCTTCCATTCCCTACCATTAAGTCAGAACTGAAGAAGTTTCTTGGATGAGAAGCGAAACATCTTGAACAAAAAAAAAAAAAAAAAATCCAGTTGCCTTTTGAAAAAGCACCTTTGGTATATCTACACTATCCAGCCCACATTACTAAATAACATCAGTTTTTAGGACTTGAGAATGTAGACCATATAATCAAGGACTGCTTCCCTTGCCCTATATGCCTTTGTGGCTTAATATATATTGAGTATGAAGGGTCTAGAGTTTGTAATCTAGAGGTTACAGGTTTCTCCTTATAAAGGGAATATATTTTTGACAGGGAGTAGTAGCAGTGAATCTACAGGTAGACAAAGCATTTTTGGACACATGAAATCAATTTACAAGCTGGTTACTAATTTTCCCTTACAGTATAAGATGCCCGGCTGAATATGAGTTAATGAAAAGGCAAATGCAATTTTAAGCTGCCTCAACAAAAAAATTCATTCCAAGTCACAGGAAATAATAACTAAACTTTATTCTGCTTTGGTCAGACCTTACCTTAACGATTACATCCAGTTCTTGGCACTGTACTACAGTCTATCCGAAAACAATTTCTGAGAATACCAATAAGAATGACCAGGAGGTTTGAAACTATTCTGAACTGAGACTGAACAAGTTTGAGAAATGCAAAAGAACTTGACATCCATCATTAAAAAAAACATTTTTTCTGCTGTCTTTCTATATTATAATCAGAGACCAGCATACTATAATTCAGGGGAGAACTAGAAGCCTCAGATCCAAGGTTATAATATGGAGTAAAAAAGTCATATTCCTTATGAATCATTGCTATTGTAGGATAACTATAATTACATACTGGCCCTTGAAATGTACACCATACAAGTTTCTTATGCCCTTAATGTCATCCTTACCTAGAACAGTAAGCCTGGTTCCTTGACCAAAGTGCAACTCCTCATAGGCACACAATGTGTTTTCCATGTATCACATCTCACTCAAAAAGCTTTGTGGCTGTGTTAGAACAGTTCTATTCTCTGACCAAAACCCTGATTTGCAACAATGTTGTTATTTTAAGATAAATGGATTTACCTCTTCACTGAGCACATTGGCTGGAACTAATAGAAACCAAGCTCCAAAGCACCTGGAAGAAACCAGTTTGCTTAGATCTACACCATATTATCTTGATGCATGTGCTAAACAATTACTTCAGATCTCCTTTATTCCCGTAGATCTTACCTAGCACTGTCAGCCGAGTTCCTTGTCCAAAATAGAGCTTGTCAGAGACACACAACATGTCTGTCCTATAAATGAAACCTTTAGGAACAGCTATGTTGAAGGAATGTCTCCTGTTTATTAACTATCCAACCTGTTTCTGAACATTGCCTTGAATCTAAAAGCAACATCCAAAGCTGAAGCATTAAAATGAACCTTCTGATATTATCTTCATATGTTTATGTTGGAAGTTATGCTTCCTTTTTTTCTTGGGGCCCTGTTTTTATTTATAGATTTTATATAGCATTGATAGACTTTATGTGAGTATTAGAGTTTATCAATGAACATTTGTTTTTTATTGTTAACAGTTGCAGGCATCTGAACCAAGAGCATGCAGGTTATAAATTCAATTATTGAATAAACTAACACTTAGCCAATTGTATGCTTTTATTGCCTTTAATATTATAATAACTATAGTACCCCACAGTACCAATTACCCTGTATTAGATAATCCTTTCAGCTGTTCACATTTTCTATTGTCCAATTTGTACGACTAAAAGAAAAATAATAAGCCATAGATCTACACAATCATAAAAACAGTATGAAAGAAAGAAAGGAAGGAAGGAAGGAAGGAAGGAAGGAAGGAAGGAAGGAAGGAAGGAAGGAAGGAAGGAAGGAAGGAGTCCATGATTCTTGGTATTGAATTCTTATATATTTCATATAGTCAAGGAAGATGGTATAGAAGCTATTTCTAGGCTCTTCTGTGTCACCTAGTCATATCACATAAACCTTATTATAGTTCATGGTGACATTCTTAGCATACAAACTATTGATCTGTATTTTACAAAGAGAATCCTTTATATAAGGAGTTCAAAGGAATACATATATTTCCATAACACATTCCTGTAAGGCAGGCTGAGGTGAAATACTGTAATCTATTAATGAATTAAAGTCACATTTCTTAAGTCCACTGCATAACCCACCATGCTGTCCCCCTCCTTAATTTTCAGATAGTAGTTGCTTCCTAAGATCCTACATGTTATGCCTAGTTTCCATAGCAAAGAATCATTGAATCCATGTAAGACCCCACAGCATATAACTTACCTAATACAGATACTCGAGTTCCTGGGCCAAACTTCAGGTCAAAATTTATGCACAGCATGAAAGCCTTTTACTAAAAAAGATGCTTCAGCTCAGAGAAAACATCACCCATATACACTAGCAGGAACTTTTTTTCTAATTACATCCTGGGGAGAAAGCATCTTTCGGCTAAATGGAACTCTGATCCAGTTCTTACATGTTTTGATGCAATTGTGTACATGTATTTATATCCTTCTGTTCTTTCAAAGATATTGGTGGACATGTAGGGAGGGAGAGCTGAACTGGGAAATTAAATGGGGAATTTTGTACTTAAGAATGTCATGTCCAGGTCAAAGCACTCCACCATTCCTAGTGATCTTCATAGAAACAGTATGATTTCATGTAATGAGCAATAGGAGAGCATGGAGGTCATCAGGGCCATTTTTTTCAAAAGATCTTATCGCAGTGATTAGAACTATCCTTGACTAATAAGCTGATAGAGATGAGCAGGAAGGATTCTGGAAAAAAATCCACATGCTGTTCATATTCATCTTTGGCTGTCCATGTTGAACCATTGGTTTATTAAAGTTGACACATTCTCCCTCTCTCCTTTTGTTTTGTTTTCCCCCAGTCTTGCCTTTTGATCTCTGCCAATATTAGCAAGTTTAACCTATGCTATCTCAGGTTATCTTACTATAGCAATATGGAGCCATGCTTTTTTTCAGCATGTTTCTACCAGTTTCCATTAAATATATGTCCTTACCCCAAGCATTCAGCTTGGTCCCTTCTCCAAAGTAGGTCTGCTCAGTATTGCACAGCTGGCAAGGTCATGAAATAAATTCCCCTTTGGATTATCCATAAGGAAGCTGATAGGTTTTTCTTCATCCTATTCTGTCAGTTATAATTAGAAAGCTGTTCCATCAAAGTTGGTTCCTTCTGCCTCTAGTTCATAGTTTTTCCAATGCTAGGACTAAGGCTTACTGCTAGAAGGCAGAAACTTTTGTTTCCGCTTGATTTGTCACAGATATTTAGTTAAGGAGGACGTTGTCATCTAAGGCCATCTGTTTCCTAAGAATCTCTTTCATGCTTTGAGGCTGAAAGCCAACAAAGCAGAAGTCACAACTGTCATCTGTATGAGCATAAATTTGCTCTTATGTAAAAACTGAAATTATGAGGGGGGGGGGGTTGATTCATGGATGCGTTTGACCATCACTTGTTGACTACAACATCCAGTGTGACTTCTGTGTATGGGTGTGTGTGGATATGGGTCATAGCAAGACAGAAACAGGGAATGGATCCAAACAGAGTATAGAATGGACCATACCCAATTTATAGAATTTTTTTAACACATCACAAATTTTCAGGCTAAACTAGATGTGGCAGCAGTGAATCTATCAACTGACTGATCACTGCAAAACAATTGTTAATGCGGGGAAAATCTTAGGTGCAACATGAAAAGCAGGAATCAAATTTTTCCTTTAAACAGATTTTTGGTTTACCCATCAGTAATTTTTCTCAAACCATTGTTTTCTCTAGTGGCCAGGACTTCATAAATGGAAATGATTTCTTAGGGGAAGAGTAAAGCACAAATAAGAAAGAATTCAACACCAACTTTACGGTCTCCTAAACTTTCAATCTCTTCTGTCTCTCTTTTATAGAAGGTTGGCATAATTTGTGTTGGAGTTGCCCCTAATTATATTTAATATTCAGTAAACAATTGCCAAGAGACCTATTGATAAGTATGAAGAGGCAGATGTTGGCAATCAATTCCAACAGAGAACATAGAACATTAATGTTTTAATCAGTTGATTTTTATAGCTTTAATATGATTTATATTCTTTTAATTTTTGATTGGGGGCTGCCCAGAGTTGGCTGAAAGGTAGGTGGCTATGTCAATGTTTTAAATCAATAAAATAAATTAATAAAACTTTCTGCATATTTTTACTAGTCAGCCTCAGCCAAGAGGTTATTTATGTGAAATTTGCTAACAATCTTTCCTCCTTAAACAAATAATAGAAACAGATTTTCATGGACTGAAGGGGAAAGAGGGAGAGGGAGGGAGGGAGAGAGACAGACAGACACAGAGAGACAGAGACCCACATTTCTTCTCAAGCAATAGATCCTATGATGATCAACGAAAGCCAAAACAGATGTTCATGAAATTAACACATTTTATGAGGAGGAATGAATGCTGGAAGCAATTTGTACTTCAGCCATGTGTGTTTAGTGTGTCAGTTACATATATTTCTTCATTCTAGACCAAGGATTGATCAGCCATTCATTAACATTTTAAGAAATTCAGTCTTGCTTGTAATAGTAAGCTATGGATTTTGTCTTACCAAGTACTGTAAATTGAGTTCCTTTTCCAAAGTTCAGTGCATTACACAGTGATGAAGTCACCACATAAAATGAATGGTAATTCTGGTTGGGGCTGTTCAGTCTCCTGAATCTCTCTCTCTCTCTCTCCCTCCCTCCCTCCCTCCCTCCCTCCCTCTCTCTCTCTCTCTCTCTCTCTCTCTCTCTCCCATTATAGCTTGAATGCATCCTCACTTCCCAAATGACATTCAGTTGTCAGTTGACATGCAAAGGAGGAGAAATAGGAAAAAAACAGCAAGCAAGGCTTGACTTTACTCAGCTTTCTTCCATTTCAAAGTATCCACCTAGAAAAACTAGAACTTTCTAATTACGTGCATCCAGGATATTCAATATTTAATTAAAATTAATAATTATATATAATCTTATGATCAGGGTGGATCTTGGTGATCATTAAAATTCATTTATTTTCTTTTAGAAAACAGTTACCATTTTTAACTTTGGGTGTACAATTATAAAATTTTAAAGTTTTTCTAAGCAAGCTGAACCACACACTTCCACTAATCTCATGTATTTAACAGAGCTCAGGCAAGAAAACGTCACAAAATAATCTTTGGTGAACTTACCTAGCACTGTCAGTCTGGTTCCCTGGCCAAAGTACAGCAATGAGTTTGACACAGTATTAAAGAGCATTACAAGAATATCCCAGAGAGCTTATCAGCTTGAGACAAATTCACTAGTGTGCGAATCATCTCTCATTAACACACAAGATAAGTGCATAAATGAACAAACTTTTTGGAAAACGTTGGGACTTTTTATCTTTTAATGAGGAAAAATGAACTAAATCAGAGGTTTCTGTCAGTTCAGGTTCTCCCTCTGGGAGATTTCTCTCTTCTTCTGTCTCCAGAACATCATTATTTATTCTCGTAATCTTGAGTAATTTCAACTAAATCTATTGATCTTTTCTCTTTTTTTCTAAGATGAATGTGAAGAAAATATCTGGCAAACCAAAGAGCCACATTCCAGAGGGACAGCTGTGTTGGTCTGTTGTTCCATAATAGCAAAAAATCTTAAGGCATTTTAAAGACAAATGGCATCATCTTGAAGCAGAACCTACTTCATAAAATACTTACATTATTAACTGCAAATTATGTATACAATCATATAGGCAAGCACAAAATGGCCCCCAAACTAAATTAAATATAAGGGTGACTATGACAAATTTTATATAGTATTGTTGCTACTTTTTTTTTTTTTTCATTTCCTGATCTTCTGGTCATTCTGTTTATAAAGTTTTCTTTTGTCTCTTTATATATCATTAAATGTATGTATCATGCCAACCTGGCATAGTTCCAGGCCCTCAAAAGTTTCCTTACAGCTATTTCATCTTTTCTTCCCAAATAAACCTAGTCTGCCAAAATACACAAAAGAAATGATATAAAAATACAAAAGAGATCCAAATGGAAAACAATTGTGTCTGGATTGCCTGGAAATGTTATGAATGAGACAGGAAGGTTGTGTATTAAAAATCTCCTCTGGAAACACTATTTGGATAACATGTCTGCTCTTGATGAAGTGGAATCTGCCCTGTGAAAGCCATAGGGGCCATTATTGCTTTACATACCTACCGGTATTTTTTCTGTGGATATTTTAAACAGATTTTGCATTGCATCTCTGTGTCACTTCTTATCCAACACTATCCACTGAATCAAGTTTCAAGAAAAATGTTCTTTGGTCTTTTATGAAATTATTGATCCCTACAGTTATTATTTGTCTCCTAACCAACACGCACACATACCCAGTGTAGAAATTCAGAATAATGACCAAGGCAGGGTCAAAGACTCACTAAATTAGTAGACCAGTGAAATACTGTGGTAATAGAGTAATATATTTAGACTGCAGCAAGGCATTTGACAAAGTAGACCACAACCTACTTCTTGGTAAGCTAGAAAAAAGTGGGATAGATAGCATCACCACCAGATGGATTCGTAACTGGCTGATAAACTGTACTCAATGAGTAATCCTTAATGGGTCTACGTCTACATGGAGGGAAATAAGTAGTGGGGTACCATAAGATTTCGTCTTAGGCCCAATACTCTTCAATATCTTCATAAACAACTTAGATCAGCTGTCACCAACTGGTGGTCTGTGGACCACTGGTGGTCCGTGAGAAAATTTCGGTGGTCTGCAGAAAAATTATTTGCTTTTTTTATATAGCACTAAATCAGGGGTCCTCAAACTACAGCCCCTGGGCCAGATACATGCAATGAACGTTTGTGTTGCTGCAGAGAGTCTCCCCCTTCAGGGTCTTTTTTTTATTATTATTATTGAAAAAGTTTTTCAAATACAGATTCCCCCCCCCCTTTTCCCCCCTCCTCCCTAACCCTCCCTCCCCTTCCCCTCCCCCCATGGCTTCTCCAATATAAAATCCAAATTGATATCACATTATATAATACTTTACTTTACCATCCTTTTACACCAACCCCCATATGCTAACCATTTCTTTCTAACATTATTATTATATCCCCCCTATACTATACATTTCAGAACAACATTCAGCTGTAAAATTATATAATAAATCCTAATTTGGCATTTATTCAACTCATAATCTACCCATTTCCTCCACCCCCATACATATATCTCTTAATTCAAATCTTTTATGTATATTAATATCTGAACATAACATCCCTTTTCCTAAACTAAACAATCAGTAACCTACCCTATCTCCACCCACTTTCCTACAGGTCTACCATACATAATATTTTTAATATCTTTGTTCTTCTGCCCAAACCACTAAAAGATATTTCCATATATAAATAAAATCCTCAAATGACTTTAAGTTTGTAATCCATATAGTATCTTCTGTAATGTCTTTCAACTAAATTATTAATTCCATCGCCTGTGTTAGGGTAACATCAAGTTCTACTTCCAACAGTATATTCAGTATCTTCAATTACCATCTGCCCCCATCAATAATAAATGTTTCTGTATATAAAAAACCACCCAAGTGACTTTATATTTATATTCCATATAGTATCTTCTGTAATATCTTTTGTCTAGATTATTAATTCCAACCGCCACGTTAGGGTAACAACCAGATCTTCTGCATGCCCCAATTCCATAGTTCTCTTGCCTTATAACTCAACTCAACATATACGTAATCCATTTTCCAAAAAATCCAAAATAGAAAGTTCCAATCCACTCAATCAAAGGCCATCTTCCACATCCCAAAAACACCAGCACTGCAGAGATCTGTTATTCTTCTCAAAATAGTATAAGTCTGTAATTTGCCTCAGTTATATTTTCATGTATCAGCCTTCTATAAATCCCGCTTATTATATTTAATCGTCTCTTAAGTAACTGGCATTAGTCTGTTGGCTAAAGAAAAAGAAAAAAAAAGAAATTTTTTTTTGTTTAATTTAAAATTTTTTAGTTTTGTAGAACCTGCTTCTTCTTTTCTTAATGTGTTGTGATTTAGATCTCCATCCTGGTTGCCTTTCTTGGACTTGTATATCAGCTGATTGAGTTACATGCTGGTCTGTAACTTGATAAGACCTCAAATCGAAATCCAAAGCCGCCTCTCTTATATTTATAGGTGATCCAGCTATAGCCTCTGAAGGAGAATCCAGAAGCGGCTCATCCAAAAAGGCCTCTATAACTTGTTGTTTTTCCATTACCTCCATCTCCATCTGCTTAGCCTGAGTTTCAATCTCTTGTTCCCCCTTCAGGGTCTTTTTGTGTGGGTTGGAGGGGGGCAGAAATTCTGACTTGGGGGCTGCTTCGGCTCCTGGTGCCGGGACTTTGGGCGAAGGCTGGAGGGAAGCCCCGCTGGTGGTGAAGAACCAGAGGGCCTTGTTCCAGTGGGATTGCCTCATGGCCTAGAACTGGCTGACCATCTCCACCCACTGAGTCTCCAGGTGCTGGTATCTGGCCTTGCACTCCCGCAGGTCTTCCCTCTGCTTGGAAAACCTCTGCTAGTAGTCCTCAGTGAGGTGGTTCTGCTGAACTTTCTCCTCAATCAGATCCAATTTGAACTGAGCTGTTTTGCCAACTCTTTCTTGTGGTGGCTGCTTAGCTCCAACAACTGCTTCCTGTTGGGGCCCTAAGGAGCCTGGGCAGGCAGGCGAGGAGTGGCTGGGATGGAGAGGTGAGTAGAGGCTGGCGAGGCACCCCTCGATGCGAGTGACATCGAGTTGGCCATGCCCACCCAGTCACATGCCCACCTAGCTACACCCGCCCAGCTGGTCATTAGGCATATTAGACCATCATATTAGTGGTCCGTGGGATTTAAAATTATGAAACTAGTGGTCCCTGGGGTCCAAAAGGTTGGTAACCCCTGACTTAGATGAGGGAATAAAAGGGGAACTTACCAAATTTGTGGATGATACTAAACTGGCAGGAATAGCTAACATCCTAGATGATAGGCTCAAGATCTAGATGGATCTTGACAGGTTTGAACACTGGGCCCTATCTAACAAAATGAAATTCAATGTAGAGAAAAGTAAAGTCTTTTACTTAGGCAAGAAAAACCGAAAGTACACATATAGATTGGGTGAAACCAAGCTTAATAGCAGTATCTGTGAGAAGGATCTTGGAGTCTTAGTGGACAACCAGCTAAATATGAGTTAGCAGTGTGCGACAGTAGCCAAAAAAGCCAATGCAATTCTAAATTGCATTAACAGAGGGATACAATCAAGATCAAGTGAGGTAATAATACCACTCTATAAAGCCTTAGTAACACCACACCTAGAATACTGCGTCCAGTTTTGGTCACCACACTATAAAAAAGATGTTAGAGAAAAGACTCTAGAAAAAGTGCAGAGAAGAGCCGCCAGGATGATTAGGGCAGTGGTCCCCAACCCCCGGTCCGCGGACCGGTGCCGGGCCGTGGAGTACCTGGCACCGGGCCGCGCAGCGGCCGGGGGACATGAACGCTGCAGCGCAAAGGCTCTTGGGCCGTGCGCAAAAGCTCCTGGGCCATGCACAAAAGCTCCTGGGCCGTGCGCAAAGGCTCCAGGGAAGAGAGCCCCGCGCAGGTATGCACGTGTGACCCAAAGCCCCCACCCCTGCGCGCGCTCAGCGGGCCACGGTAAAATTATCAAAGGCTGATTGGTCCGCGGCGATAAAAAGGTTGGGGACCACTGGATTAGGGGACTGAAGACTAAAACATATGAAGAACTGTTACATGAACTGGGCATGGCTAGTCTAGTGAAGAGAAGGACCAAGGAAGACATGATAGCAGTGTTCCAATTTTTGAGGGGCTGCCACAGAGAGGAAGTGGTCAAGCTATTTTCCAAGTCACCTGAAGGCCAGACAAGGAATAATGGATGGAAACCGATCAAGGAGAGATTCAACCTAGAAATAAGGAGAAATTTTCTGACATTACAATAGTTATGGGGGACTTCAATTACCCTGACATTAATTGGAAGACTAATTCTGCACCAAGTGAGAAATCAAATAAGTTCTAACCAACCTAGCTGACAACATTGTTGTTCAAAAAATAAAGGAAGAAACTAGAGGGCCAGCCATACTGGACTTAATTCTTACAAACAGAGAAGACGTGATAGAGGGAGTTAAACTGCAGGAACCTTGGATGAGAGTGATCATGCCATACTAGAATTCACCATAACACAACCACAAGCAATAGAACATAATGATACCAGAGTCTTAGATTTTAAAAGAGCTGATTTTAATAAATTCAGAGATAACTTGGGAAAGATTCCTTGGATGAAAATCCTAAAGGGAAAAACAATTCAAGAATCTTGGGAAACTCTGAATAATATGATCATAAAATCTCAGAGAGGGATGAGGTGGATCAGTGACTAAGATGCTGAGCTTGTTAATCAAAAGGTCGGCAGTTCAGCAGTTCGAATCTCTAGTGCTGTGTATCAGGGTGAGTTCCTGTTACTTGTCCCAGCTTCTGCCAACCTAGCAGTTTGAAAGCATGTAAAAAATGCAAGTAGAAAAATAGGGACCACCTTTGATTGGAAGGTAACAGCGTTCCATGCGCCTTTGGCATTTAGTCATGCTGGCCACATGACCACGGAGACGTCTTTGGACAGCGCTGGCTCTTCAGCTTTGAAATGGAGATGAGCACCACCCACTAGAGTCGGGAACAACTAGCATATATGTACTAGGGGAACCTTTACCTAAACCTTTAGCTAAAAGCCCAGACCAGCACAATATCACTAAGAAAGAAAAACAAGAAATCCAAGAAGAAACCAGCATGGCTGCACAAAGATCTCTCTGACAAATTGAAAGACAAAAAGGAGAAGTACAAAAAATGGAAAGAGGGACACACAATTAAAGCAGAATATCAGTAGATAGCCAGAATCTGCAAAGATGAAGTCAGGAAAGCAAAGGCTCAGAATGAACAAAGACTTGCAACAAAAATCAAAGATAATTTAAAAAGTTTCTTCCAACATATAAATAATAAGAAAAAAAATCAAGGAAACAGTTAATCCACTAAAGAGAGAAGACGGCAAGGAAGTAACAGGCAACAGAGAGAAAACAGAGCTGCTTAACTCATTCTTTGCATCTATCTTCACGCAAAAAGAAACTATAGCCCAACCTACCAAAAACATAACTGTAAAAGACAGATTAGAAACAAAAGTTAAAATAAGCAAAAAAAAAAATAGTAAGAGAACACCTGTCTGATCTTGATGAATACAAATCACCGGGACATGACGGATTACATCCCAGAGTTCTAAAGGAGCTGGCAGATGTCATCTCAGAACCACTGTACCACATCTTTCAAAAATTCTGGAGCACCAGGGAACTATCAGAGGACTGGAAAAGAGATGATCTGGTTCCCATCTTCAAAAAAAAGTGGGGGGGGGGAAACAGACCCAGGAAACTACAGACCAATCAGCCTAATATCAATATTCAGGAAGATACTGGAAAAGATAATATAAAAGCAGATCTGCCAATGTCTAGAAACAAGTAAAGTAATAACTAGCAGTCAGCATGGATTTGTTAAAAACAGATCATGCCAAACCAATCTTATTTCATTCTTCAACATAATGACTAAATTAGTAGACCAGCGAAATACTGTGGACATAATATACTTAGACTTCAGCAAGGCATTTGACAAAGTAGACCACAACCTACTTCTTGGTAAGATAGAAAAAAATGGGACAGATAGCATCGCAGAAATGGTGTAGGGTCTCCTGCTTGGGCAGGGGGTTGGACTAGATGGCCTACAAGGTCCCTTCCAACTCTGTTAATCTAATGTTATCTAATTCTGGCTAGATCCTATTTGGTAAGCAAGGCAGGGTTTTTGTAAAGGGCTTTCCATGAAATGAATCATTGTGACCCCTGTCCCCACAATGATTGAATCTCATACAGAAAGACTTCACTTTTCTACTCTATCACCACTCCCAGCAATGAAGTGAAGGTTTCCAGAAAGAGTGACAGCTGCGGAACTGGTGAGAACCTTCAAAGTCTTGCAGGCAGGTGCAGACTTCCTGAAAGCATTCTCTGTTCAGAAAGACATAACAGTCAATTTTTCCTTTCTCCTTTCTTAGTGCTGTTTCAAACTGGTATCCTTTCTTCAAAATATTCTTCATGACTCTGTTGTGGGGGTTGAACAATCTGCCCAGAGATGGACAAGGAGATACCTACCCAGTTTTCTAAAAGGGTCTTTGACCAAAATCAACTTTGACTGACTGATCTACTATCTACTTTCCTGGTCAGAAAAAGAACTCTCTACAGAGAAGTTAAGAACAACAGCATAAAGGTTAAAATTTTAGCTAAACAAGAGGGATATAATTAAGACTGTGTAGTGCATCGCCAACATGATTGCCAACGTCCGATGACAGATATGGCACAAAAAGAAGAAGTGCATTGGTGATGAACTGGAGAATCCCTGCTGAAAATCTTAGCCCTTTTTCAAGATGGAAGCAATACAACTACTTTATCTAACAGTAAACTAAGCATTATTGAGGAAATATGAAACATTTACAAGCATATAAATTTGCTAGGTATTTTTACAAAACACCTATAAGCGCTCATTAAAACCTGGAAGAAAAATACTTGTCTTCTCTGGTTGTCTACTCTGGAATTATTTGTGAACATCTTTCAAGTCTATTGAACTACATGACTATTGCTTCTTAAAAAGCCACATCATTTGAGGTGACATCTAAACCAATCTGATTCTGCTGTTCATGTGGGAGGAGCTTGAAATTCTCTCCTAATTTGTTGCAAGACTCATATGACTACCTTGATTTGTAAACATGCACATTGGCCAAATCATGTAGTCCAGCTATACCATCCATTCAACAGAGAAGTTTGGTACTGCTCTTAAAAATGCTTTGAGTTCATAAGGAAAAGGCAAACGAAAAACGAAAAAAACCCATGGTTGTCACTTTCAAAAACTGTGTTGTTGTTGTTTTTTTTCAAAATGGTGTGTAGTATGGCTAGATTGATGGAAAATCTAGTTTTTATCTTTCTGGTATGTGTATAGGAGAGAGCAGAGATGTTGGGAGCAGCACAATCAAAACCCCATTCTTTTCTTTTTATGTGATAGAGCTGTGGCCACCATCTTGACTTCTTTTCTCTACCTTCTTCAGACACGTAGGAGAGAAGAAAGAGAGAGATGCAAATTTTGACTCCAAGCTTCCATGTGAAGATTCTATTGTGATGATTCTTTCAGTGTCTCCTTTGTCTTCTCTCATCCTGTCCTTCATGAGACAGTTCTTGCAAGGAGCTCCTGAAGCATTCTAGCACTGTGAAGCTAGAAGCACAGAAATAAACGGCAGCATCTTCAGAGCTCATTTTGTTGATTTGCAATGAACAGTGTTTACCATGCGTCCGTTGAATCGTAAATCCTCGATCTTCAAATTCATCTTCCATAGTGGCTTTTGGTGCTCCCATACTTATGTAACCAATCAATTCCAACTGCTGCTTTGCTGCTGTTTGCCGATACCAGTACATCCAGTTGTGATCTGTGTTGTTCTGGTAGCAATTCATTTCAATCTGGTCTCCAAGTTGCCCTGATATCCAGGTTGGTTTCTGCGTGAGCAGTATTTGCTCTGCTCTGATGCAGAGTAATAAGAAGGAAAAAGAGAAAGAAGAAAAGAAGGAAGGCTGAAGATGTTGGTAAATTATACTCCATAACATCATAGCAATAGCTGCTCAAAATGCAAGAAAATACAGTTATTTTTTGAATGCTCCTTTTTATGGTGCGGTGTTCCTGGTTCAGTTTCTTCCCTGTAGAAACTCCCAAACCAATTTTATCAAAATAAAATTTATGGAAATAAAGTCTTTCCCCAGCCACTTTTAGACTGTTGTCTCCAAACTTAGATTGTTATGTTCCCTCCCTTGCTAACTGCCCTTCTACAGTACTTCCCTTGATGAAAATGAAAAACCATAAAAGAAACAGGTCTCAGTGTAACATCATTTGATCTGTACAAAATATCCTGTTGAAGTGATGAAGGAAACCCAAGAAGCATTTCTGTCAGGTGATTCATACTTCCTAAATCCCGCCCTCCCAAAGTGATGATAATAGTCCAGGTTTCCTCTTTAGATAGGTCCTGGAAATGTTCATAAATAAACTCTTGAACTTGGTTTTAATTGCCTGTTAGAAAATACAACTTTTAATGTGGAAGCTTAGATAAAAATTCATGGTTTTTGCACTTGTCAATTATAAGGCTTACATGCAGGCATCATCCAAGCTGAATTTGAACGCACGAAGAGGCAATGAAAGATCAGAACTCAATAGATGAACTGAGGCTGCCAGATTTTGTGCTGGATTGCTGGTTTCTGACTTAAGTCATAGAAGTGAAAGACTGCATCTAGTGATGGGATAGATAGATAGATAGATAGATAGATAGATAGATAGATAGATAGATAGATTGATTGATTGATTGATTTAATCTGCTGCCAAACTCACTGTCAAGCAAGTGGGAGCTTTTGAATTGTTTATTGAATCTCTCTGTTGCTTGGAAATAACAGTTGCTTTTAGAGAATAATCAATCATATGCAGTCTAGGTTTGAAATCAAAGTATCCTGTGTGTGTAAACATTCTTAAAAGTGGAAATCTCACATAAGCACTGATTACCGAAGCAGGTTTTATAATTTTAACAGAAAGGATATATATATTTAAGGAAATACATAATAGGAATAAGCAAAGCCCAGAATGTAGCTAACTCCATCATGCCAAGGGAGAACCAAAGGGCAAGTATACTGAGAATTATAGCAGAAGGAAATCAACTTGGCAATATTTTAGATAAAGAGGAGGCAGCCCAATAGACAAAGAGGGCATCCAAAGGAAATCATAATTCTCTATCTACACCCCCTTGGGGTGCAGTCCCCTTGGAGTTAATAAGTCATGAGGTGCTGTAGAGTCTTTGGTATTGGCTTCACACCTCCAACTATTTAAAACATTGGTCAACAGATCATCCGAAAATGAATACACTTTCCAGCATTCCATTCTCTTATTTCCACCCTGATATGTCATCTTTGGCAAAGTGATCTTCCCAAATTCTGATTTAAAGGAATTTTAAGTGAATTGTTTTAGAAGATATTCCTGTACATTGTATACAAAAGCTTGTAAACCTGTGGCTGGACTAAACTGAACTGGGCTGGATTTGACCCAATGGCAATGGAGTATATACCACAGGATCCAATCTGGGTCGGTCACCAGGGCCAGAGGTTTTGTCTTTTCAGCTTTCGGACTCATGTTAGAGCCCATATTCATGAAGTTTCTTTTCTGTGTGTGGTATTTATGTGGTGCCTGTTGTATTTGGCTTTTTAGTTGTTGACAACAGGCACCACATAAATATTACATACAGAACAGCACACACTCTGCTAGAGAGAAGTCCCTGAAGATGGGCTCCAGCACGAGTCCGAAAGCTCAGAAGGCAAAACCTTTGGTCCCGGTGACTGACCCAGATTGGATCCTGCAACATTATCCTGGGACATGTATATTCACCTTCAATCATAACAGTATATGCCTTCTGAGACTGAGATAGAGGGTGAGATAGAGGGCAGAATCACTTAACCAAGCTGAATTACACCTTCTTTTCTTATAATGACCCAAAGGACACTTCATTTGTGCAGGGGATGTATTTACTGTCTGAGTTAATTGAAGACTAATTTCTTAGAAACAAATAAGGAGTGAAGACATTAGGTCTCCCAGGAATTATATGCTGGCTAACATAATGGAGAGGGCATGACTTTAACTCATGGAGAAAATGGGATAGCATGTGGTATCCTAGAAAAGGGCACTTTTTGCAATAGTGATAGATGCTTATCATGTTGCTGAAGAGCTTGCAGCTCCAAAAATTATAATAAAAGGGGGAGATAAGGCTGAAGTTGAAAACATTTTGAAAAATAAAATTTATCCTTTGGGTTAGCAGGCAAGCAAATATCAGCAAAGGACGGGCTAGTTCTGATCCTTATTATCTCTATTGCTCCATTTCCTTTTTGAGTTAAGAACAAAGAAATTTTAAAAAGTTAATTTCAAAAATACCAAATGGAGGGTTGGTGAGAAGGAGAGATCCACCCCCCAAAAAAATACACAAAATATTCCTTTGATCTTGCAGTTCCGACTACGATGCAAATAGATGGTTTGACTGGGATTCAAATTATGCTGGGATCAAAAACCACATTGGTCAAAGCTGCTTCTTGAGGGATTGTTTAGATCCAGCAATTTGGCCCTCTTTCTCCTAACATCATCAGCCCTATAACTCTGTCTCTTCTGGTAAATTCATTGTCCTCCCCACTAAAATGCTGTACTCTTCCTCCAATATTACAACAAGCTTCATCACTAGAGGTGTTCAGCTAATCTGCAATGCATATGTGACCGTGATTGAACCCACAGGATAGGACGTGTAATCATCAAATCACCAAGGAACAAGTATAACATGTAGGAGATTTGACTTTGTACCAAAAAAGTAAATTTATTTTAAACCATTGAAGGATTTTGCTGCTGTATATGTTGCCACCTGCTGGTTACAGTGAGTCTTAAAACAGTTTTGGCTTGAGGAACATGATTTAGATCGGTGTTTCTCCACCTTACCACTTTGAGTTATGTGGACTTCAACTCTCAAAATTCCCCTGTGCATGTGTGGATTTCAACTCCCAGAATTTCCCATGCTGGCTGGGTGTGGAAAACAGAGCCTATTGTTTTTACAGAAACTACAGAAGACAGCGCCAGATTCCAAATGGCTCTGTTCTTCCTCAACTGTCAATCCTCCCCTCCCCAATTTCCCGCCATAAAGGTATACAGCAAACTGCACATTTGTTCCCCCCTCCCTCCCCCATTGATGAGAGAACACCGGCAAAGTGCCAAGCTGAAGCTGGTGGTTCTGACAGACTGTCTTTTCCTGGTCACATCTACCCGACCCACTAGAGTGGGGAGGCAGTGAATGTTGCGGGTCCCCTCTCCTAATGAGGTTAAGAAGAAGGTCCTTTTCTATGAGGGCTCCCTCCCTGTGGAACATCATCCTTGCACAAATCAAATTGGCCCCCACTTTGGCATTCTTTCACAAGGCCATGAAGACCTGGTTTTGCCAATAGGGCTGTGGACTCCAGAATGGGATGGAGCTCGTTGATTGTTATCACCAGGGGTGGGTGGTCATTGCTTTTTTATTGGGTTCATTTATTCTTGTAAGCTTCTAGGAGTCAGTGAAATATTATTAAATAAATAAATTCCTCAAATAAAACCACATCGAAACACTAAACTAGACCAGGTAGTCTTGTTCCAGGTTTTCCTCATTGTCAAGGGAAAGGGATGCCTTCCAGAATTTGGATTTACTTTAGAGTGTAGAAATGTCACTCTGCAAAAGTGATGGGAAATTCATGTTATTCTTACTTGGATATGGCCATCAAGTGCAGGCAATACTTTTTATAAGGGAGCTTGATATATTTATTTATTTATTTATTCGATTTATATGCCGCCCTTCTCTGGAGACTCAGGGCAGCTTACAATGCTTTTAGGCAAAAGCCTTCATACTTTTGTATATACCTGCTTAGTAGGGCTTTTTGGGGGCCCCTAAGCGGTGTTCTATTTTATACAAAGTCAGCTTATTGCCCCCACAAACCGGGTCCTCATATAACTGGAACATTGAAAGGCACCAGGATTCAATAGCTCTGGATTATAACTACAGCCATCAATCTATACAACTCCCCACTATTAAAATAAAAACAATGATCCCATCAAATAGCTTTGGAAATCAGCCTCTATTTATTCTCCATTCTATTAAGAGGAAGCACATGAAAAGGCTGGATTACAGGAAAGTGGCTGCTTCAGTTAGCAGCAATGGTGTCATGGATCCAGTCAACGTATTTGCAGACTTTGGTGTAGACTCCAGGATAGCCAGGCAGGGCACAACCTACTCCCCAGGAGACAATGCCCTGGAGGAATCCATCACAAGCCACTGGACCACCAGAATCTCCCTGCAAGACGAAAAGAAAGAAGAAGGGTTTAGGGAAGTGCTGAGGTAGTTTCTCCTTTGACATGTTTGTAATGTCTTCCTCTTTTTACTCCCCATTACACTGTAACCAATTTATGGCACTTGTCCTTGTAGTATAATGGTAGCATTCCCCAGCATTTCTTAATTCCTTCAGTTGCTTCATTTCTCAAAGCGCTGTGGTGCTTCATCTAAGATCTGGAGTCCAACTTCTACATCTTTTATTCAGCTCATTGTGAGGGGGGAGGGGTTGTTTAATTTTAATTACTAAGTGGTACTCATTCTGATCTCCTGTTTTCATCCCCTGATTGTATTGATATAATTATTTCTCTATTCTTCAGTGACCCTCATCTATTATTAAGCAAAATCTCTCCTCTTGTCATGTGTGATATTACATCCTTCTCAAACTGCTGTAGGAAGAGTTTTGGGCTGTAAAGGGGATGGTTGGGGATTTGTACTTTCAGCCTTGCAAAATTCTGTTCATGTAACTTTACAATGAAGTAGAATTAGATCAAGTCATGTTTCCTATCTGTCTACCTGGGAAAGCCAAACAGGTACTGAGAGAAGCGGAAAAGCCAGTTTGGCATAGCAGTTGAAGGCACAGGACTAAAAGTGAGAAAACCTGATTTTTAGTCCTCCTTTAGAATGACTTTACTAGCTAACCACTTCTGAAAGCGTTGGAAAGAAAACTACAAGGACCTGCCCAAATAGACAGCATGGTCAATACTGACTTGAAGGTGTATAACAACAATAATAAAAACAAGAAGTCAAGTGGTTAGAATTAATGCTGGGATCCTACTTCCTCCATACATAAACTATATTGGTAATGTGAACGGAGCTTCATTGGAGCCTTATTAATGCAGGGCTAGAAATTATCC